TCCCCAGGGAGAGGGGCGTCCAGAGCACCCCCTTGGAACCTCATCCTTGTCATGTTTTGGAAGAATGTCTAAGAGCGTGATGAAGTGTGGCAGGATGAAACCACCTGTACAGTGTGCTTTGTGGTTCACAGCCGGAATCAACTGCGAGTTGAATTTTGTCAAATGCCTTGTAGGCATCTATGGACATGATCGTGTGATTTTCGTCCTTGCTCCGTTAATATGATAGATTTCCTAATATTAAACCATCCTTGCAATTCTGGAATAAATCCCACTGGGTTGTGAAATACATTTAATGCATTTTTTGGATTCAATTTCCTTATATTTTTATTTTAAAATTTTGCCTTGGGACTTCCCTGGTGGGCCAGTGGTTAAGAATCCGCTTGCAATGCAGGGGACGCCAGTTCAATCCCTGGTTGGGGAACTAAGATCCCACATGCCGTGGGGCAACTAAGCCCACGTGCCGCAACTACTGAGCCCGTGAGCCACAACTACAGAGCCCATGCAGGAAGCTCCGGGGGAAGGGTGCCTCATTCCCCTTTTGGAAGATACATTCCTGGGTTGAGGGTAGGGTGGGTGTCTACACACCTCTGCTCCACATACGCAGCAGGAAGCTTCCCAGAGACATTTCTCTTCTATTTGAAAATGTTCTACGAATATTTGGTAAATTTTCTATTTGGTAGCATTTCTACAGCCCTTTGGAGAAACACAGGCCTGGAGGAGGCCTCCAAGAACAAAAAGAACCTGGGTGCCCCATTTCAAGATGTGCTGGGTGGAACAGATCCATTGTAAATGTTTGGCCCTAAAATGTTTTCATTAAAAAAATGTAGATGATCTATTACATATGGTGCGCTCTGTGTGATGACGGAACTTCCCGTGCTCTGCTGAAGACCCCTCTCCGAAAGTGAAAGTCCGATCCTGTCATTGCTTCCCCAGTCACAAAAGCTGTAAGGCTGACTTTCACGGAGGACTTTCGGTGGTGACAAAGGCACACACAGTAGCTTGTAAACCGAGCACTCCGTTATGCGCTGAGCGCTATCCCCAAACTGCTTCCTGTACCAGGAAAGTCCACATCCAGCCACAGTGTGTGGGAGCAGTAGCATCTTCCAGGCAAGACCAGACAGCCCGGCGGAGGGTGGCGACTGTGGACCCTTATCACTGACCCCGAGGCATAGACTTGCAAAGAATTAACATCCCCCCTACCCCACCTTGCCCGACTCTGGCCCCATCGCCCCTTTCGATAATCAATGAGCAAAAAAAGGCAAAGCAGCTCTTGAATTAAGACGGGAGTGCTGTCGGTTCACTCCACATCTGCTTCACCTTCTTTAGAAAGGTGGGGGGAAGTGTCAGAAAACTTGCTTTTGCGGGGAAAGAGTCAAGATATAGTAAAACAGTGTCTCTGGCGCCAAGAGCTCTCAGTCCGTTCAAGGGACAGACATGCAAATAAAGACTGAGTTACAAGCCGCTCAGAGGGACAGATTCTAACCATGGTAGTCTGAAGCATTATAGGAAACGTACTGCTTTGAGAAAAAGAAAAATGCCCAATTCCTCGGTCTTAATTGTTTCAACAAGCATGGGATGTCCACACACTCCGAAATTCTCTCTCTCTCTCTCTCTCTCTCTCTCTCTCTCCCCCTTTCTTTCTCTGTTTTTAACAAATTGCTATTTTAGGCCAGGTAATGTTTCCTTTTCCTCCATCTCAGCTCAGGGTGAATTTTCTCATACAGACAGCTTCAGTTGAACTTTATTAAATTATATTTGCTAACAGTCAATTTGTGACGTTTATTTTCTAGACATGTGCACCAATTTTTGACTTCCTTTAGCGTAAAGCTAATAAGATCCTATATTCAATAACTTAAATCAGATTTACCTCCCAGGGAAAAATCAACAGCTGTGCCACTGGAAAACTCTCTCCTCAGTTCAATGCTAAATTACCCCTAGAAATGCCAAGCGTTTTCAGACCTGGAAGTAGTTGCAAGAAAAGGTGGACACCTGTGCACGTGAGCTGAGCTCCTTTTGTGAAGCTCTAAGAGTTAAACTCGGAGCAGCTCTCAGTTTGGGGGTTCTGATTTGCATATTAATGCCCTTAGTAGTTTTACCTCCATCTCTTTTATTTTACAATAAGTGATTTAGTTACAACACAGGATTCTGAGAGCAGGAGCCGCTCCCCACCTCCACAAGGCTTGTGGGGTCCTAGTTCCCCGACCAGGGGAGTCCTAACCACTGGACCACCAGGGAATTCCCAGTAGGAGCTCTGAGTGCATCTTGTATTTTGCTGACTAACCACTGAAACATACAGTTGTTCTGAGCCTATGGGACCTGGTCCAGCACAATGCAAATAGAGACGCGAAATGAGAAACGAGAACGGAAGGATAATGCTATCATGCCTGCCTACTTTGTCTGGGGGTGGGGCTGGGGGAGGCGAGAGTAAGCAAGCAGGGAGGAGGGGACAGAGGAGGCCCGTGGGCGTTTATTGCGCTGTAGTCGCCCGCGCTCGGAGGCGGGGTTTGTCTTGTTTCAAAACTATGCGACAGGGACGTCCCTGGCGGCGCCGTGGAGAAGACTCCATGCTCCCAATTCAGGCGGCCCAGGCTCGATCCCCGGTCAGGGAACTAGATCCCACCTGCATGCCGCAACTAAGAGTTCACATGCCACAACCGAGAAGGCTGAGTGCCGCAACTAAGGAGCTGGTGAGCCGCAACTAAGGAGCCCGCCTGCTGCAACCAAGACCCGGCGCAACCAAATAAATAAATAAATATTAAACAACAACAACAACACGATGTGACAGGTGAAGGGGCAGAATGAAGGCGCAGGTACCATCCTCACCTTCATTAGCCCTGTGCTGAGGCCACCTGGGCACCTGCAGTACGACGGCCTCTCTCAACGAGCCAAGGAAAAGCAACAGAACGCGTTGGGTACCTTGGGCGGATGTACCAAGCGCACTGGGGTGGGGTCAGGGGAACGGCAGGGACACAGCTGTGGTCACGGGGCTGCTGAGCAGGGCTGACACCCAACACAGACGGTTGTAGGATCAGGGATTTAGGCGACAAAACTGCAAACGGAGTTGCTGGTACTTCCCATTCTGCATTTCATGACGATGCTGGAACCCTGTCCCGTGGCTGCAACAGCAAGACAGCTGCAGCTGTTGTTTTCTTGGTCTGAATGCAGCGAGTTCAATCTATTCACAGTAATGATAGCCTGGGACTTGGCCTGTGGGAATCTGCTCATCCAATAACCTCTGAATCCATGCTAGTGTGGCCCAGAATCCTACGGCAAAGTGTCCTACGACCCGTGTGTGCTGGGCCTGAGAGCAGGTTGGGGTCCCTTCTCCAGCAGGGATACAACCCGACTCTTTTTATCGCTCTGGGCAGTGGTTTCAGAGTCAAGCCAAGTGTCTGTTTGCTTAAAGCACCTCATGGGTGGGCTCACATATCTCTTTTCCCCCTTTTCAGTGGTTGGTGAAACGAAGCAGTCTTAGGACCCGTAATCCCATCACTATCGGCCTCAGAGTAAGTTAAAATAATCAAAGGCTGCCACTTGCCCGCTCTGGAGAGAGCACTCCTGCTTGGGGCCCTTCACAGGGGCGGGTTCCGTGGACATTCCCTCCTCGATGTTCCCTAGCACGTGGTTTCGCATCTACACTAGGTATACATGGAAACTTACCGTATAGTTCGTGGCAGATTCTGGGGCAAGCAGGTGGGCTTTTAGATGCTTCACCTTGGGCAAAAGAACCTTTCTGGGCTTTGGCTTCCTTATTGGTGCAATGACAACACTAGTTTCTTCCTGATTTGGCTGTCGAGAGGTTGTAAACGAGAAAACACACGTAAAGCACTTAGCACGTTGGTAGCTGGGAAACAGCTCCGTACTCTGACATCCAGTATCGAACTTCTCTTGCGAACCAGTGACATCTCTCCTGGCCCTCCCTCTGGGGCCAGTGGACTTGGAGGAACAGAGTGACGACCCCTGGGATCTTGGGACGAAGGGTGGGCGATGGACGCAGTTTCCTGAGGCTTCATGGAGAACGGCCCAAGGCCACCGTGCCTCAGCTCGTGGCGGCTGATTTCAAGCCTGACGGCACAGCCTTCGCAGAGCCGTTGCCAAGGAACAAAGTAATCCTGTGACAGAAACACTGCCCGGGGTTTCGGTTTGCCGGTGGAAAGGGTTTTGGGTGGTGACAAGTTTTATTACAGGCATTCCTGGTCTCCCTGAAACAACCGTGTGAGAAGACAAGTTATGGAGGACAAAACCACAGACCCAGCCTGGCAACAGACAACATGCACTGTGTTTCCTTGCTAGTGATCCACAGATGTATGGGATTAAAAAACAAGTCCCACCAAAAAGCCCAGGCCTGCACACTTAAGCTGGTCCACAGCCTGCCATTTGGCAAGATGACTTTTGCTGGTAGGTTGATTTCTTGGGAAGCCCTGGGAGTGGCCCTTGGCTCTAGCCTCACTAGCCAGGCCACCATGGATGAGCAAGGCCACCCATCTGAGGTCACCACCACCTTCCTCAGGGAGTGGATGCGAAGTGAATCAACCCACATTAGCACAGAGTCGCCCAGGGACTGCCTGCCCCCCTTCCTTATAGACAGACGGCCGTGAAGGGGCAGCTCCAGTACTGCCCTTCTGAGGAGCTGCTATGTCAGAACGGACAGAGCTCAGGGGTTATGACGAGGAGAGGACTGTGCGTTTTACGTGAGTATTCAATAAAGGGCTGTAGTGTGATGACAGTAATGCAGTGATTTCTGTACTCAAAAGCCAGTGGCCCTTTGGTTAACAATTTCCGGTGATTATGTGAAGCAACAGAGTAACCGTCATGGCCACAGAAAGCACTGAAATCCCATTGAGTCAAGAATTCCTAGTGATACGGAAATAGTGATTCTTAAGAAGAGCTACTGTGATCACGTGGCTTAACGTCTTCTGCAATTCAAGTATGGCTGTCACGCATGCGTGTGAACTATGCACTGACAAGGGCGGGAGCTCCTCACATAAAATCACAGGATCTTATTGCGAACTTTATATCATCCAAGGACAGAGGCTTTCCACAGAGACGTTTACAATTATAATGAAAAAAATAAAATTACACCTGAAACTAATATAATATCATGTCAACTCTACTTTGCTAAAAATAAAATAATAATGAAAGTCAAAAAGCAAACAGATGCAAACTTGATTTTACAAAATTTGACCATCAGCAGAGTAAGGTACAATCAAGGCGTATAGTCGGTTACAAGCCACGTTAGAAAAATGCTGTTTTGAGGACAGCAGAAATGTTAGTCAGTGCAGGGGCCCTAAGTAACCTGGAGATTGTGGGGAGATGAGGACAGGCTGCAGAGGGTTCTGGGAGAAGAACCTGTGTAGGGTGCTCTCCGGGGGCACTCGTCTCTGACAGGAGCCAAGCCTCCCCTCGAGGTGAGGGCACTCTGAGTGGGTCTCGCCGATGTGTGAAGGGCTGGGGGAGACATGGACGGTCCTCACCCTCTACAATGGAATCAGGTCTGGGAACCCAGGGTCCCGGCCCCGGCCCCGGCCCCAGCTCCATCCCTGTGGCTGTGCGTGTACGGGGCGCTCCAGCACCGTGGCGGGCGAGGAGCAGTGGGCACGGGGAGACCAGGGCAGGGAGCGTCCTTGTCACTTCACTCTTCCTCAGAGCGAGCATGATGCGTTTCCTCCAACTAGGGGAAGAGTCTTCTACAGACCAAATGCAGCTGGACAAGACGTCTAGGCCACTTCTGGCTGCACAATCTGAGAGATGTACTCGAGCTGCTGAGACGTCAGCATTTGCAGAGATGATGAGTTGGAGAATTTAAAAGCAAAGATGTCCTAGAAAACCAGTCAGGATGACAGGTGAGCCAACGTGGTTGTCACCGAGCCAACAGCGTTTGCATCTGTCAGCCTCGGTACCGACCTCAGCACGACAAGAGCTGCAGGCTCTTGTGAGCCCACAGGGAGAACCATCGGTTACCAGGATCTGCATTTGTTTTCAGGAAAAGCCCAGAAACTACACAAGAATTTGTCCAGTTTCAAGGTTAGTCTAGTTTGGCCACCCAACTTCCATCACAGGTACAGCCTTTACACCTGGAAGACAAGACCAGCCAGGTCTCAACCAGGGGGTGAACTTCACCTCTGAAGCTGGGAGACACGAGGCTACAGTTAGACCCCCTGCCAGTCTCTGAAACAAGATTGAGAATTGGGCCTCTGACAGTTCCACAGGGAGGGCCCAGGAAGAATGCGGGTAAGGAAGTGACGGGCGGCCTCTAGTGGCCACTGACAGCCAAGTTTCACAGCAGATCCCTGGGACAAAAGGTACTTTCAACCTCCTGCAATACAGCAATCAGGAAGCAAAAAATGTTTGTAACTATATCTTCAGTAGTTTGCCAAAGAAAAACCTCAGATTAGTAGATAGTCGTCCTGAAATAAAAACAGTTTAGGCGGATTCTTTTGAGGATGTATTTATTAAGTTCTAAAACCTTGAATAACTTTTATTTTAAACATTCAAACTGAAAAAACAACTAGGAAAACCAGAAATTTCAACAACTTTCAAAGAGAGCTGTGGGTGTCCTTTTTAGTTATTATTATTATCATTTTGCCAAAAGAAAGGTGAGCTAATATTTTAGAAAGCTTCATCAACTGGTGAACTTCATCTTGGTCTCCACTTTATGTCTTTTACTCCATGAAAATGTCTTTTCAAAGCAGTGTTATCTGCCCACGGAGAATTTAAACAGGAATCGTCATCATTTTCTTCCAGTTTCTGGACACAAATGTATTTTGCTCAGGAAGGCATTTCAGGAAAGTGTTCTGCAGAACCCACGACCAACCTCCTTGCTCCCCACGTCCCCACAAGCAGGACACCTCCAGAGCCTAAGGCAGGCGGACACCGGGCAGGGCCCCCGCAGCCCTGGCGAGGCTGCAGCTCAGGACGTGCCCTCACCACATCCTGCAGAGCCCCCCGAGCTACCCCCGTGCCCAGAGTAAGGCCTGGGGGTGAGGGGGTGAACGCCCCAGGCGCCAGCTAGCTGAGAATCCATCAGTCACACGGTACCTTGAGCTCCTCTTGTCTTCTGTGATAGAAGAGCATCAGCTGCTTCTGCTCCTCACTGCTAATGATGGGTTCTCGCGCTGGAGCTCCTTGCCCCCTCTGAAAAGACAGGGTGGGGGGGACAGCAAATTGCGGACTGAGGCGTTCTTATAAGGACGACCCAGGAAGTTACAGCTCACGCCTTACAACTGCCTTTGCCGACTGCTAAAGATAAACAGGCCTTGCATCTCTGGTCATCCACAGCGGATCACGAGGGGAGTCTCGCTCTGGCCCTGGGCCCTCACAGTGGAGGCTGGAGGGTGCCGTGTTGGTCACAGCCATTCCCAAGTCAGCCACTGCAGATCCAGTGAGGGAGGGATAGAGATAATCGTGGGGGGACCCTGTTGCCCCCAAACTATAGAGGTGATTTAGGAGAGAGCACACAGCAAAGCAGCCTGCAGGTATACGGCTCCACACGAAGTCCTGACAGGTCTCCAGCCCTCCACCTCTTTCACAGACTGTCAGCACTTAGACAAACTTGACATCAGTGCTCTGGGCTGTATTTTTCATTTCAAGAAACAGTTTTAGTTACTTGTAAGCCCATTTTTTTTTTTTTTTGGTAAGCCCCATTTTTAAAGTTGAAATGAACGCAGCATACTCTCCTTTCCCCCCAGTTAAAACAAACTCCAGATACCGTCCACCGATCCATATTTCCTTCATGTTTTTGTTGCCCCATAAAGAGGACAGTTTGACTTTAAGCCTGGACCGGCAGGATTAAAGTGTCTGCACAAGAGTTTAAATCTTTCAGATTTAATGTAAAGTTTTATCAGTTTGCAAGTAAGCGAACAATAGTGACATGTTAAAGTACTTACCCGCTGAATCTTGACGATAATTTTGGTTTTTTCATTCTTCCCCACGTAGTCCGAAAGCTTCTTTGATCGTCTTAGCTCCTTCGCTGCCCACCACAATTGTGCCTCTGATTCTGTGATGACACTGAGTGCTGCCTGGGTTCACGGTAAGAACCAGCTTTAAGGTAGTCAGGACACGGCCATGGGTGTGGGCAGGGAGCCTGGCCAATGCCCCTCCCAGCATCGGAAGTGGGACAGGCTTCCAGCACCCTGCCCTCCCCTGCCGTCCCCCACGGGCAGCACTAATGCCCCCGACTCAAAGCCCTCACTCATTTCAGCACCTTTCCTGTTAGTTTCAACTCATGCCCTGACTCAGGTCACTTCTGGAAGGTGGCGGGTATCCTATCTCATTTGCACCCTCATCCATGATACAAGGTCTGTCTTAGATGGATTTTTAGGTTACTGCCAGGGAAGAATACGGGGATCCTGCTGGGTGTTTAAATACAAAAGCCTCTGACTTACGATGGTTCGATTTATGACTTTTTGACTGTATGATGGTGTGAAAGTGATACGCATTCAGTAGAAACCATGCTTTAAATTTTGAATTTTGATTTCTTCTCGGCCTGGTGATGTAGAGTATGAGACTTTCTTGTGATGCTGGGCAACGGCAGTAACTTGTGATCGCCAGAGTAATCAACCAATACAACTGTCCATACCGGACAACAGTTCTGTTTTTCACTTTTAGTACAGTATTCAATAAATCACACTATTATAAAATAGGCTTTGTGTTAGATGATTTTGCCCAACTGTTGGCTAATGTAAGTGTTCTGAGCACGTTTCAGGTGGGCTAGGCTAAGCTATGATATTTGGTAGGTTAAATGTATTAAATGCATTTTCAACTTACGCTGGGTCTGTTGGGGCATAATCCCATCATAAATTGAGGAAGAGCTGTATAGGTATAATGGGGCTGTTCGTTTGCTTCTGCATATCCTGTCTATTTAAGATGGCTCAGAGAAAAAGATACTGTCCCACAGGATAAGGAATGAAAAAATGAGAAAAACAAAGGAAAGTGGAACATAAAGCTAAGAAAATAATAAGGAGCAAGAGGTAAGACTAGGGGCTTCCCTGGTGGCACAGTGGTTAAGAATCCGCCTGCCAATGCGGGTGACACGGGTTTGAGCCCTGGTCTGGGAAGCTCCCATGTGCCGTGGAGCAACTAAGCCTGTGCGCCAGAACTACTGAGCCTGTGCTCTACAGCCCGCGAGCCACAACTACTGAAGCCTGCGTGCCTAGAGCCCATGATCCGCAGCAAGAGAAGCCACCGCAATGAGAAGCCCGTGCACCGCGACAAAGAGTAGCCCCTGCTCGCCACAACTAGAGAAAGCCCACGTGCAGCAACGAAGACCCAACGTGGCCAAGAATGAATGAATGAATGAACGAATAAATAAATAAATAAATGTATTGGGGGAAAAAAAGAGATAAGGCTAGAACACAAAATTCCATGCAAAGGGACCGATACGTTTGGGTAGCAATAGGCACAAATTAGGGTTTTGGCTTCCCAGTGGTCAAAGAAAATGGGACTGCTTTCAGTTACTCCCTTGTCTCTTGCCACCCCTGTGTGTGGGGGCCAAGCCCTCAGCCAGGAGCACGTCCTCGGGGTCCTCCCCTGAATTCACAACTCTGCTCTGAAGCCTAGTCTAGCAAAATGGAAAGCTGTGTATGAAGCAACAAACTACACCAGCAGAGAAAGGTCAAATCGGAGGGGCTGCTGCTCTTTGGGGGCTGGGGGAGGGAAGGGACTCACCTGGAAGAAACCCCAAGAGCCACATACCTGACTCCCCGACAGATCTTCTTTATTTTCAAATTCCATCCGGATAGGATCGTATGGCGGCAACCCCATGGGATAAACAATCATCACTGCACCTCGAAGCTGGTCCAAGGCGTCTTTCACCATCTCCATGGTAACGCAGACGTTGGCTTCCACGTGTTTCTGAAAATGATTACAGGCGTTGTTATCTATGATGCAGCTGATCAACTCAACAAATCCCAATCAAGTTCTTGTACAAGACCCGTGCCAGATACTGCCAGAGCGACAGAAGAATCAGACGGCGCTCGCTACCCAAGTGACTACGGTCTATTCCTGGGGCTGAGCCATGGCCACCACGACCTAGGTTATAAGGCAGGATACGAGCGGCACCAAGAGGGGTGAAGTGCAGAGGACACTCTGATGGGAGGAACCCCAGTCCAGCGGTACAGATGCGAGAGGGCATCAGGAAAAAGGGCAGAGGGGACGGCATCTCAGGGAACAGAGTGCTTCGGGACAAGCAACGGCAAAGAAAAGCAGGTCACAGCTAGCAGCCCACGCAGCTCGGGGAAGGGAAGGCACTGCTGGCCGGCCAGGCTGGAGCCTGTTTTGGGATGGCCGTGAACGCCAGGCTGAGGAGTTAGCATTGACAGTGAGGCGATGGGCAGCGAGTGGCTTCTCTGGGAAGAAGTGGTGACGCTGTGAGACTCATCTTGCAGTGGTTGTAGAATGGACCCGGGCGGGGGCAGACCACGTAGCAGGCTCTGAAGAGTGCAGAGAAAGGTGTGACGTAATCGAGAGTGTATCTGGTCTTTGCCCCCCGTTCCTGGCGCAGAGCTTCAAAAACCCTTGGCATTTCCCGAGTGATAGGGTTGTCATTATTCCTAACCAGCCCCCTCTGACCAGACCTGTGTTCATGCTGACGAGGTGATCCATGTGAACCCCTGGATAGTTTGGGGAGCGGTGGCCCTCCCAGGAAGCCCAAGCTGGGACTAGCAGGTTGGAGCTTTCAGACACCCTCCCCGCACCCCCATCTTCACCACCTCTGGAGAAGGGGATTGGAGAGGAGCTCAGTCATGTGGCCACTGATTTAACCAATCAGGTCCACACAATGGAACCCTGATAAAAATTCTGGACGCTGAAGCTCAGTGGAGCTCCTGGATGGAGAGCACACTGAAGGTGTGCACCCGGGGTCCACGGAGGAGGAGAGGCCACGGAGGTTCTGCACCCCCTGCCCCTGGCTCTAACTTTGCTCTACGGGTCTCTCCCATCCGGCGGTTTCTGAGTTGTATGCTTTGTAACAAAACTTTACAACAAAATAGGAACTACAGCACTTGCAGCGTGTTCGGTGCGTCATTCCAGCAAATCACTGAACCTGAAGGGGGGTGGTGGGAACCTCCAAACCTGCGGCCAAACCAGACAGAGGGCAGGTCACCTGGTGCCGGAAGTCGGGCGAGTCTGGCTGAGGAACTCACCCTTTAGCTTGCGGGGTCCGTGCCAGCCCTGGGTAGTTAGTGTCAGAGCTGAGTTACAGGCCCCCCAGCTGGTGTCTGAACACAAAGGCTATCAGGGGAGCTTCCCTGGTGGCGCAGTGGTTGGGAGTCCGCCTGCTGATGCGGGGGACGCGGGTTCGTGCCCCGGTCCAGGAGGATCCCACGTGCCGCGGAGCAGCTGGGCCCATGAGCCATGGTCGCTGAGCCTGCGCGTCCGGAGCCTGTGCTCCGCGACGGGAGAGGCCACAGCAGTGAGAGGCCCACGTACCGGAAAAAAAAAAAAAAAAGGCTATCAGGGGAGCCTTAAATAAAGTGGTGACCGTGGAAATGAAACGAGGGCTTTAAGATGCATCTTAAATCCATGGGAGTGGACGGTACAGGACCAGACTTAAGGCATACGAGTGACAGAGAGGAAGTGACGAAGGTGACACTGAGCCTGGATAACCGAGACAGCAGTGGCTCTTAGTAGAAATGGAAAGTCTGCAGGAAGTGCTTCCTCTTGGGTAAAGAACACAGGGCAGAGAAATCAATGAGTTCAGGTCTAGAAAACTTGAGTTTGAAGTGCTGGTTGGACTTTCAGGTAGAACCTTCTAGAAACCAGCTGGAAACTCAGGTTGCAAGTAAAGGAAGATGCTGGGGTAGAGGACAGAGATTTGAGAGTTATTGTGGAGAGTGGAATCTGTATTTAGCAGAGAAGATAAAATGCCGAGGAAGAAAGAGCAGAAAGAAAAGAGAAGAGATTCAGGATAAAGTACTTTGAGAAACACCAAATTTAAGAGGCAAGAGCCAGAGAAAACAGCACCCAGGAAGCCGGGAGGGAACCAGGATAGAGGAGGCTCATGTACGTGGTCGAAAGACAGAGAGGGGTCCAGGAGTCAGACGGGAAAAGCCCCTGGATTTGCAGGAGGGGGGTCACTGTTGGCCCTGAGGCGGCCATTTCTGTGGCAGAAGAAAACAGAGGCCAGGTTCTGAGAAACCCGGGAGCATCTGGTCCGAGGATCTGGGGGCCTCTCCTTCGGGAAAGCTGCTGGGGGCGGGAAGTTGGGGGGGGCGAGTGGTGGGGGGGCAGGTGGAAGGTTAAGCTGCAGAGGATTGATTTCAGGCTAAGGTAGGAGGCCCGAGTGTGCTTACAGAGTAGATGCTGCCATAGGACAGGAGAGACTAAAGGCATTATTCCTCCTGGGTTTCTAGAAGGGGAGATGCAGACCAGCTGGAGTGGGGGCAGCAGCGGAAGTGGGAGAGCCCAGGGGCAGGAGACACTGGTCAGTTTCGAGGGAAGAACGAGAGAGATGCAGGAAGAGACGGTTTGCAGGGGGGACAGAAAACTGAGGGCTTATGCCAGACGGCCTCGACCTCACTGCCAAAGCAGGAGGCAGATATGCCACGGAGAAGGTGAGAGGGCAGGAGCCCAAGGAGAGGAAGGGTCTGAGACAGGCTGGGGGGAGGGCCAGCGGGCCCGCAGTCCCCATGAGGTCAGAGCTTGCTCAGCAAAGGAGGTCAGGCCAGGAGCACGGGCCATGCAGAGACCCGGAGCCAGCAAGAGGCCACCTGGGGCCCCGCTGGGCTGGGAGGCAAGGTAGGGGAGAGGGGTTATCGGGAACCCTCGGCACGCTGACAAGGGGCTGGGGGGCAAGGGCGGGGGCAGGGAGGGATGGAGGATCCTGCACTACGAGGGCGACATCAGGGCCCACATCTGAGACGGAACCGCTCTGAGTAACTGTGAGTTATAACCTGACCGAGCTGTAGGCAAGTGACACGGAAGGGAGATGAAAATCCTTGCTTCCGAGGAAATGCAGGAGTCCCGTGACCTGGTGCAACACGGATCATCAGCGTGGATGCCCAAGTCCCGGGGGGACCGGGGACCAGGCAGCACCCGTGGCCTGAAGCTGATGCACCCCAGGGAAGGCAGAATGCCCTGGAGGCCCAGATTTAAACTCTCTAAACCTACGTTTTCATCTGTAAGACGGAGGTAACATTCCTGCCTTACCTACTCCCAGTGCGGCTTATGAAATTGTTTCCAAGTCATAAATCCTCAAAAAAGAAATCAGGCCTTCCCATGAGGGGCACATGCCGTAGAGACGGTGTGAAGATCTCCCGGATCCGGGGTCACCGGAGGGAAGCTGTCCCACTCGGAGGGCTCCACCCCCCACTACCAATATATGCAGAAAGGGGGCGCCACGGGGTCATTTTCTACAAAAACTCCACCAATGTCAAGGGCAGTGATTCCCCACCAGATGCCATGGTTGGGTGACAGAGAAACTCACGGTGCGGCCTCAGGACGACAGAGATTCCCCGCTGTCCTGGTCTCCCACTCACAGCAGAGGGTGGGTCCCAGGAAGAGAGGCGGCATGGACACCATCGTCCCACCCCAAGGAGCCCCAGTTCCGATATTCCACCGTCTTCCACTCTCCCCCTGAGGAACCTGAGCAATGGAGGTGGAGTCCCAGGCCCAGGGCCAAGGGACTGGTCACAGTGGGGCTGCTGGGACCTGAACTCTTCCTTCCCTGCTCGCCCAGTGGGTTCTGACCCACAGGGCTAAGTGCCCCCCACAGGGCAGGGTCTAGGGAGGCGAGAGCGACGCCGGCTGCATTTGGGAAGCAGCGTGGAAGCCCCGGGTGAGAAGTGAGGCCTGGCCACCCAGGAGCTCTGCAACTTTGGGAAAATCGCTGCAGCAAAGCGACTGGAGCCCCTGGGAAACCTCTCTCTCTCAACTATGACATGACTATGTAAAAAGACACACAGGCAAAGGGAAGAAGTGATACAAATGAATAGGAAGGATACCCACAGAAGCAAGAGTGGGGAGTGAAGGGGGCGAAGCAGGGTCCAGGCCACTGTTCTCCTAACGTGCTCTGAGATGTGCCCATTTGACTAGATGTTACTAGCTATTATCCTTTTAAAAAAAGGTTCTGCAGTCAAATGCATTTTGCAAACATTGGATCGAACCGAAGCCTTCCTTGTCGGCTTTCCCAGAGTCTTTCCTATATTAACAGGCAGAAGGGCAGCCTTTCCTGAAGCACTTAAAGGATTAGTTAAGAGCTTGAAGAATTTGGGAAGTGTTGGTTTAGAAATGACAGTTATGCCCAGTGCATTGAGAGGAACAGAAGAAAAAGCAGTTATCAAGTGAGAAGGCCTGCAGTGGCGGGTGGGAGCAACTAGTCCCAGCAACACATAAACAAAAGCGACTGATAAAAACATTCAATTCTTGAAAAATCCTTAAATTATTCTCCTCCAGGCTCACAGTATATGCATGTCAATGGTATGTTTCTCCTTCAATGAAACACTTTTTGTGTAAATACTTAAGACAATTACAAAAAGCTAATTCGTAATAAACACATGCTGTGCCAGTCAGGTATCTGTAGATCCAGCGTGTGGTTACAACGTTCGCATCTCCCCGTTCCTCTTTCATTAGTTCTTAAGGGTTACAAACTACAACACATAAAACGGACAAGCAGTAAGGGTTTACTGTGTAGCACAGGAACTTATATTTAATATCTTGTAATAACCTAAAAGAGAATATAATCAGGAAAAACCACAACTGAATCACTATGCGGTACACCTGACACTGACACAATATTGTAAATCAACTATACTTCAACTAAAAAAAAAAAAAAAGTTAAGGAAACAAAATCATATATGCAGCAATTCATACGTGAACCACATTTACACAAGCCGATACCCATTTCTGTCAGACCTGAAAGAACTGGGAGGATTGAGGACAATTATGAAAAGGAAAAGCTAGGGCCCACCCCAAACATGCTTGTTTCCCTTGCCTCTGGAAGGAGGAAGGAGGGAAGGAGGGAGGGGGAGAGAAAGAGAGAGAGAGAAAGAAAGAGAGAGAAAGGAAGAAAAGAAAAAGAAAGAAAGAAGGAAAGAGAAAAGGAAAGAGAGAGAGGGAGCGGAAGGAAAGGAAAGGAAAGAAAGGCTTCATTTAAAAAGCTAACCTTCGATATTATTGCTTTGGCTTCTTCTATAGTCTTCTTTAAAACTTGCTTCATCTTTTCATTTGGAGCTATGAAAATAAAAAAGGGAAGGGAGAGAGAGACAGCCATCTTTAAAACTCTTCTTAAACATCTTAATCCCTTCTGTCTGCGTCAGGGAGGAAGTGAGATGAGAGAAAGTACAAGAATGGAAATCAGATGAGGGATACAGGAAAGCTGGCTGTAAGAAACTTGGTAAAAATCTTTCAAACTTCATATGCTGAATAAATAACATAGCCATTGAAAATACTAGAAATACAAAACTGTATTAAAATAAAAGTGATTAAGACAATCTTGGTTAAAGATGAATAATGAACTGGTAAAAATAAACTGTTAACTCTTCTTACGAGTACCATTAGTTTTTTCATTGATGCAATTCCTCCTAAAAAGCAAAAGATCTCTCCAAATTGAGAATGGGTTTAGGTATGAAAAGATGTGGAAAACAACCAACTATTTTCTAGGTTAAAGTTCAAAAGAAATAATACTAGAAATTCCTATTATCTTCAATACTAAAAAAAAAATTTCTGAGGATGCAAAGGCCTTATAGGGACACTTTATTTCTTTCGCTCCTAATAGTGTTTTAAGGGCATAGTAGATACTTAGGTGTTTGTTAACTGATCAATTATAGTCTTTTATTTTATTTTTTTTTAAAGAATCCATGATAAACTTTCTTCATTTATTTATTTGGCTGCATTGGGTCTTCGTTGCTGCGTGCGGGCTTTCTCTAGTTGCAGCGAGTTCGGCCTACTCTTCATTGTGGTGCGCGGGCTTCTCATTGCAGTGGTTTCTCTTGTTGCAGAGCACGGGCTCTAGGCACACGGGCTTCAGTAGTTGTGGCACAAGGGCTCAGTAGTTGTGGCTCGCGGGCTGTAGAGCACAGGCTCAGTACTGGGGTTAACGGGCTTAGTTGCTCCGCAGCATGTGGGATCTTCCCGGACCAGAACTCGAACCCGTGTCCCCTGCATTGGTAGGCAGATTCTTAACCACTGCGTCACCAGGGAAGTCCCAATTATAGTCTTTTTTGTTGATGTTGTTGTTTTTGTGTTTTTTGCTGTACGCGGGCCTCTCACTGTTGTGGCCTCTCCCGTTGCGGAGCACAGGCTCCGGACACGCAGGCTCAGCAGCCATGGCTCACGGGCACAGCCGCTCCGCGGCATGTGGGATCTTCCCGGACCGGGGCACGAACCCGTGTCCCCTGCATCGGCAGGCGGACTTTCAACCACTGCGCCACCAGGGAAGCCCCTATAGTCTTTTAAATGGAGTTTTTTATGCAGGTTAAAAGGGATAAGAAGCTATCAAAATGGGTTATCATCCCTTTTTCCTTCCAATTCCACACAAACAACCATATACTAAAACAAGAGGAATTTCTTCAGTGTGCTGGTATGTCCTAAGCTGCTTTGTACAAAAGAGAGACATGTCCTCAATTCGAGTGGAGACTGTTGGGCTGACATTTATTTCCTCCTTCCACACAGAATCTCTAAATAAACCCTGATCTAAAAACTGTAACAAAACACACCCTTCAATACATTATCAATGATTATCCCCTCAAACAATTAGGTCGAACCACATGAAAATGCCAATTTTCAATCACTTGTTGCCTACAAAAATGGTAATTTCTTTTTTTTTTTTACATCTTTATTGTAGTATAATTGCTTTACAATGGTGTGTTAGTTTCTGCTTTATAACAAAGTGAATCAGTTATACATATACATATGTTCCCATATCTCTTCCCTCTTGCATCTCCCTCCCTCCCACCCTCCCTATCCCACCTCTCCAGGCAGTCACCAAGCACAGAGCTGATCTCCCTGTGCTACGCTGCTGCTTCCCACTAGCTATCTACCTTACGTTTGGTAGTGTATATATGTCCATGCCTCTCTCTCGCTTTGTCACAGCTTACCCTTCCCCCTCCCCATATCCTCAAGTCCATTCTCTAGTAGGTCTGTGTCTTTATTCCTGTCTTACCCCTAGGTTCTTCATGACATTTTTTTTTCTTAGATTCCATATATATGTGTTAGCATATGGTATTTGTCTTTCTCTTTCTGACTTACTTCACTCTGTATGACAGACTCTGGGTCTAACCATCTCATTACAAATAGCTCAATTTCGTTTCTTTTTATGGCTGAGTAATATTCCATTGTATATATGTGCCACATCTTCTTTATCCATTCATCCGATGATGGACACTTAGGTTGTTTCCATCTCTGGGCTGTTGTAAATAGAGCTACATGAACATTTTGGTACATGACTCTTTTTGAACCATGGTTTTCCCAGGGTACATGCCCAGCAGTGGGATTGCTGGGTCATATGGTAGTTCTATTTGTAGTTTTTTAAGGAACCTCCATACTGTTCTCCATAGGGGCTGTACCAATTCACATTCCCACCAGCAGTGCAAGAGTGTTCCCTTTTCTCCACACCCTCTCCAGCATTTATTGTTTCTAGATTTTTTGATGATGGCCATTCTGACTAGTGTGAGATGATATCTCATTGTAGTTTTGATTTGCATTTCTCTAATGATTAATGATGTTGAGCATTCTTTCATGTGTTTGTTGGCAGTCTGTATATCTTCTTTGGAGAAATGTCTATTTAGGTCTTCTGCCCATTTTTGGACTGGGTTGTTTGTTTTTTTGTTATTGAGCTGCATGAACTGCTTGTAAACTTTGGAGATTAATCCTTTGTCAGTTGCTTCATTTGCAAATATTTTCTCCCATTCTGAGGGTTGTCTTTTGGTCTTGTTTATGGTTTCCTTTGCTGTGCAAAAGCTTTTAAGTTTCATTAGGTTCCATTTGTTTATTTTTGTTTTTATTTCCATTTCTCTAGAAGCTGGGTCAAAAAGGATCTTGCTGTGATTTATGTCATAGAGTGTTCTGCCTATGTTTTCCTCTATGAGTTTGATAGTTTCTGGCCTTACATTTAGGTCTTTAATCCATTTTGAGCTTATTTTTGTGTATAGTGTTAGGGAGTCACCTAATCTCATACTTTTACATGTACCTGTCCAGTTTTCCCTGCACCACTTATTGAAGAGGCTGACCTTTCTCCACTGTACATTCCTGTCTCCTTTATCAAAGATAAGGTGACCATATGTGCGTGGGTTTATCTCTGGGCTTTCTATCCTGTTCCATTGATCTAACTTTCTACTCTACCCAGCAAGGATCTCATTATTTGATGGAGAAATTAAAACCTTTACAGACAAGCAAAAGCTGAGAGAGTTCAGTACCACCAAACCAGCTTTACAACAAATGCTAAAGGAACTTCTCTAGGCAAGAAACACAAGACAAGGGAAAGACCTACAATAACAAACCCAAAACAATTAAGAAAATGGGAATAGGAACATACATATCAATAATTACCTTAAATGTAAATGGACTAAATGCTCCCACCAAAAGACACAGATTGGCTGAATGGATACAAAAACAAGACCCATATATATGCTGTCTACAAGAGACCCACTTCAGACCTAGAGACACATGCAGACTGAAAGTAAGGGGAAGGAAAAAGATATTCCATGCAAATGGAAACCAAAAGAAAGCTGGAGTAAAAATTCTCATATCAGACAAAATAGACTTTAAAATAAAGACTATTAGAAGAGACAAAGAAGGACACTACGTAATGATCAAGGGATCGATCCAAGAAGAAGTTATAACAATTGTAAATATTTATGCACCCAACATAGGAGCACCTCAATACATAAGGCAAATACTAACAGTCATAAAAGGGGAAATCAACAGTAACACATTCATAGTAGGGGACTTTAACACCCCACTTTCACCCATGGACAGATCATTCAAAATGAAAATAAATAAGGAAACACAAGCTTTAAATGATACATTAAACAAGATGGACTTAATTGATATTTATAGGACATTCCATCCAAAAACAACAGAATACACTTTCTTCTCAAGTGCTCATGGAACATTCTCCAGGATAGATCATATCTTGGGCCACAAATCAAGCCTTGGTAAATTTAAGAAAACTGAAATTGTATCAAGTATCTTTTCCGACCACAACGCTATGAGACTAGATATCAATTACAGGAAAAGATCTGTAAAAAATACAAACACAGGGAGGCTAAACAATACACTACTTAATAACTTAATAACCAAGTGATCACTGAAGAAATCAAAGAGGAAATAAAAAAATACCTAGAAACAAATGACAATGGAGACACGATGACCCAAAATCTATGGGATGCAGCAAAAGCAGTTCTAAGAGGGAAGTTTATAGCAATACAATCCCACCTTAAGAAACAGGAAACATCTCAAATAAACAACCTAACCTTGCACCTAAAGCAATTAGAGAAAGAAGAACAAAAAATGGTAATTTCTTATGGTTCATCTATCACATTTAAAAGCTAGCTGCAACTTAGAGCAAGAAGACAGATGCCTTCTTTTCCACCTAATTCATTCTGGATTAGTGTTTTACAAGTAGTTATATGGTGCAGTATTTTATAAGTTTGTATTTATAAGTATTTTATAAGTTTGTATTTATAAGTATTTTATAATTTTTTAACTTAAAGAACTGCTTTTGTACTTATCGCTATACTCAGGCATGCAGAGAGAAGAAAAATGCTGAATTACCTTGTCCATTCCTTCGTCCAATATCATCCTTTTTAAATACTGAACCCGCACTGGGGACACACTTTTCACCCCATTCATCCTTTAATTTCAAATCTTCAATCTGGTCATCAGTCAGTCCTTGCATATTGGGAGGGAGAAATACGCCATGTTCTGCTAATTCTTCCATTTCTTAAAAACAAGAGAAAGTTAGACAATATGTATGGTAGTCATCATCATAAAACCTTACACCTCATTGGAATGTAAGCTCCCTAGTGGTCGGGGGTCTTGCCCATTGGCTATTTTATTTAACAAACACTCTGATGCCACTTGCTATGTGCCAGATCTGTCCTTGCCCTCTGACAAATGCTCACCAATTTGTCCTAGGTCAACCGATGCAGAGAGTCTGGGTGTTTACCCACCGTTCACAGGCTACAGGTTCTGTGCTCTAACCCACTGTGCTATGTTATACTTCCTGGCACTCAGGAAGCACAAATTCAAGTTCATTGACAGTCTGAATACACATCCACATAGGGAGTTATGGTTTTCCAAGTGCGTTCACATAGCTTATCTCATTTAATTTAACCTTGAGAGGTAGGCCAGACCGTTATCAACATCCTCATCTTCCCTAATTTGCAGCTGTATCACCTGAGGCTTGCTCTGGTCACACTTCAACTACTATATATGAAACTTTATATAAATACTTTATAAAGGATTTATGTACATCTGATCATTGGGGAGGATATAAGGCAGCTCATGCCCTTCCACAGTGGCAGAGACAAGATCCTGATTTTCTAGTATCATGTTCACTATTCAGATGCATGCTTTATATTTTTCCTGTTCCATATATATTCACCCCAAAACGAATCCACATTTCAACCTTGCAAAACTGTCTTTCTTTCTTTCTTCTCTTTCCTTCTCTCTCTCTCTCCTTTCTTTCACATGAAGGAGGTAGGTGGAGCTAAGTCTTCCCATAGCACTGTGTGAAGACACTAGATGGCCTGTAATAATACAGTACTATGGAACAAATGGTGGAACTTAATGGGCTATTTATGGGATACATATTATCTCTCTCCCCATCAGACTGTAAGTATCTGGGGCGTCAAGGAGCTGGTCTCATTCATCCCTGTCTTCAGTGGGCATAGCACTGGGGCCTGCCTGAATCACGGCTGATAACAAGGACTGTAGACTAAATGAATGGGTTGGGTTTTTTTTTTGGTCACATCGCATGGCATGTAGGATCTTAGTTCCCCCACCAGGGACCGAACCCGCGGCCCCTGCAGTGGAAGCGCAGAGTCTTAACCACTGGACCACCATGGAAGTCCCAAATGAATGGGTTTTAAGTTCACTAACATGCCTGAACAATCAGCACCACATTTCAATGGATAATTTCATAGAAAAAGAAGTTGAGGCCCTTTTCTCCCCAAATGCTTTCATTTTAAAATAACACTTAATCGAGCTTGTTTTGGAGTCAGTAAATTCTACTAAGAAACTATACATATGACCCATAAAGGTAGAAACCATGACGCTTAAGGAGTTCTCCATGGTACAAAAATCACGTGGTATAATTATAGACACAATCACACCCTAGAGCACACCTGGAGTAGCATCCTGTCAAGTACTGCGCTGCCTACTGTGGCAGTTACTAGCTGCACGTGGCTACTTGGATTTAAGTTGAAATGCAATAAAATAAAAAGCGCAGTTTCTTGGTGGTGCTCAACGGCCCCCTGTGTTTAGTGGATACCTTACTGGACAGCACAACCTGGGAACATTTTCCATCGCGGTGGAAAGCTCCCTTGGACGGCACTGCTCCAGAGTGTCGAGAGGACAGTGACCAAAACACTGTAACAGGAGAATCAGGCTTTGCTTCCTGGAGAAGGGGACACCAAGAGAGGCAAGAACACCGAGGCGCTCTCACTGTTTCTCACCTCTGAAGGCCATCCCAAAGGTGGGGGGGCTCACCACCGGAAACTGCTCTACCTCCAAAGTCTCAAAATTAGAAATTCACTTGTAAAAAACGGCCCAGTGGTCGTGCCACCTCTCACACTTGTTGAAATCCACTACACCGGCTCTTGGGCCCAAGCTTCCGGCTCCCTCCTGTGCCTCTTGCCTCCTCTGTACAGGGTCTATTTCGGTTTGCTCACAGCGCCCCAATCCCGGCTCCCAGACCCTGGGGTGTGCCCTCCCCGCCGGCTCCGGGAGCCTCTCCTCGCGGTCCACCAGCTCTTGAAGCATCTCTGGCGAACCCCGCTGTCCCATTTCAAGCCCGGCTGCCGCATAGCTTTGCAAATCTTCACAAACTTGACCCTCGGCCCCAGCCTGCCCGAAAAAGCCTCGCTGGTCCCGCCCAACTTCGTCCCAGATGGCCCAGTTTCTTCTTCCCTTCCGGGGCCCTCGCGGTGCGGGCCCCCACCCCAACCCAGCCGGCAAACTCGCCGCGCCGCCGGGCCGCACCTGAGCAGACGCGCTGCACCTTGAGCCGCCCGTTGTAGACCCGGGCCACCTGCACCGTGAGCTCCTCCAGCTCCGTGCTCCCCGGCGCCTGCATCAGGAACTGGCTCTCGTCGCCCCGCTTCACGTGCAGCAGAACCATGGTGGCTCCGGAGGTCCCGCCGAGGAGGCGAGAAGGCCCAGGATGAGCGGCGAACAGCGACGACCGACCGACTAACTGCCGCTGGGAGGCGGGAACCCGGGGCTCCGGGGCTCGCGTTGCTGGGGGAACTGCACTCGCTCCCGGAAGTGGCTGTTGCCAGGAGCAACAAAGAAACAGTCTGAGGGCCGCCGCTCAAGGTCACACCCCGAGGCTGGGGCGGAGACCTCGCCCTCCACTCCCGGGAGCAGGTGCTGGCGAGCAACGATCCACACAGTCCGGGAAGGCCTCCGGGGCCCGCCCGCACCCGGCGAGCCGGATTCGCCGAGCCCTGCTCCCGGAAGTGGGTGTCGTCAGGGCAACCCTCAAACAGACCAGCCGGCTGAGTGGAGCGCTGGCCGCCCAGTCGGCTCGCCTGGGGCCCAAGATTCCACCCAGGGAGGTGGGTGGATGGGAAAGAGGTTGCTAGGTCGGGGATGGGTGGGGTGGTGGGAACCCACAGGTGCCCAGCCCCGCAGCAGTCTCCCCACCGCAGCTCCGAGCCTCGGTAGCATTTCCGCCGCCCCCAGTCTCCACTTCCGGGAATGCCTCCCGCTGCTTCGGGTCTGGAACGCACAGAAGAGGCTGTCTCAGATCGCGGATCCCCGGTGCTCCGGTTTTCAGCACTGAGGGTCAGGGAAAGTGTCCGTACTCCTTCGTGGGGCTGATTCGAATTCGCATCTCTAGAGTGGCTCGAGCGGCTGCTGCCGTAGCGACCCTCCCCAAACTATCCAACAACTCACTGCCCAACAAATTCTTATTAAAGGCAATCGGGTTCGGTGCTTCCTTCCGGGCGCCGGTGACAGGGAGGCAGATTCAGGGTCACTGCTTTCATGGAGCTTATATTCAGTGTAAGTGACAAAGAGAAAACAAAAATAAACGGATACGGCAAATTCAAATAGATATAAAAACAGAACAGGGTGGCTGGCTTTTTAGATTGGATGGTCAGGGAATGCCTTAAGCCTTCAGGCATTCCTTGGGTGACATTTGTACTGAGGCCTTGATAACGAGGCGCTAGCAAAGCTGAAATAGTGCAAGGCCCGATCCCTGATTATCTCCTTGGAAGGGCCATTGCCAAATGCAAATTGAATATTACAAGCACCTGCCACTTTGTGTATCTGAAACTTTGCCTCCCTCCATTGAAACCCTTAAGTTCCGGGGCAGAGTGGAGAAAGTGTGTGACTGTAGGCCTTGGAAATGCCCAAAGCCAATCCAGAGCCTCATGTGAAGACCGTTAGACTGACGCTGGATAGAAGCGGGATGGCGCCCAGGGTGAGATGTGTTTTCATCTCTAGTAGTGTTGCGGCAGGGTTCACCCAAACCCTGGAACATGCAGTACTGGTCAGATTGGCAAATGTCTCTCTTCCCCAGAGGAAGAAAGTGGCCTACTGTGGTCACTTAGCTCCTGACTGCTGGCTGTAAGATCATCCCCCTATTTCTCCTGAATCCAACTGCATATCCATCAAGCCAACTCCTGCTTAAAAACTTGGTTTATAGTATAGCCTTCTAGGTAGAGAGAACCATTTATCCACACACTCATGTACTACAGGGTCTCTGGGTATAATTTTTAATAATATAAAATGAATGAAAAGTATAGAAAACCCATGTTTGTACTGGCCACTCAGTTTTATTTAAATACGTAGTTATCAACTACATATCTGGTGGAAAATCTGCCAGACTGTCACAGGTCGAGCTCTTGCACCATCTTTAACCTTTGTCAGCACTGATATTTGCCTTTGTAGTCCTCTTAACTTTACTCTTTCGTTGCATTCCTTTCAGTGTTCTCTTTAGGTCTTTTTCTTCTCATACAGGCCATGTCTTACAAATTCTGTGCGTAGCTTTTTCTCAGTGTGGTTATTTTGTTTTATAAATTTATTTACTTATTTTTGGCTGCGTTGGGTCTTCATTGCTGCGCACGGGCTTTTCTCTAGTTGCGGTGAGCGGGGGCTACTCTTCATTGCGGGGCGCGGGCTTCTCATTGCAGTGGCTTCTCTTGCTGTGGAGCACGGGCTCTAGGTGCGCGGGCTTTGGTAGGTGTGGCACATGGGCTCAGTAGTTGTGGCTTGCGGGCTACAGAGCGCAGGCTCAGTAGTTTTGGTGCACAGGCTTTGTTGTTCCGCGGCATGTGGGATCTTTCCGGGTCAGGGCTTGAACCCGTGTCCCCTGCATTGGCAGGCGGATTCTTAACCACCGTGCCACCAGGGAAGCCCTCTCAGTGTGGTTTAAGTGATCATAAATCATGCCAAAGCCTGTTGTCTTGTCACCACCCAAGTGGGTTCTGAATCTGAAGACAAAGATGACATCTGGGTGGTCTTGTGTACTTTAGCTTATTGTCTCAATATTTTAGGTACTGTTGCCTTTCTAGGGTAAAGGGCATCTTATGACCATTTGTATCTGCTGAAGCAATGCATTAGTGATGAACACTCTGGTACAAATAAATAATGGGCCATTCATGATGGCTGCTAGATATCAGGCAGCCAGGGAGGAAAAGAGCACATTTTTACTGTATTTAAAAAAAATTTTTTTTAAATACCATTGGGCTTCCCTGGTGGCGCAGTGGTTGAGAGTCTGCCTGCTGATGCAGGGGACACGGGTTCGTGCCCCGGTCCGGGAAGATCCCACGTGCCGCAGAGCGGCTGGGCCCATGAGCCATGGCCGCTGAGCCTGCGTGTCCGGAGCCTGTGCTCCGCAACGGGAGAGGCCACAACAGTAAGAGGCCCGCATACCGCAATATATATATATATATATATATATATATACCATTAACACACATATGTATCCGTAAAGAATAGAGAATACTGTTTTGCATGTTTTAAATTTTATGTAACTAATGTCATACTGTATTATTTTGTACCTTGCTTTATGGCTCCATAATGAGATTTACTAATATTTCATTCACTTCACCGCTGTATAGTATTCCACTATGAATATGTCACTCTATTCCCCTCTTGGTTAGTTTCTTTCTAGTTTTCACCATTACAAACAATGCACATCCCGCTCCACATGTCCTAGAGTTTCTCTCCAAGTCTAATTGGTTGTGATAGAATGCAGGAACTTTACTGGATGTTGCTGAATTGCTCTCCAGAGCTGATGTGCCAGTTTGCCCTCTCGCCAACAGTGTATGAGTTCCCATATTTCCACATGTTCGTGAAATCTTCATGTGGTCAGACTTACTTTTCTAACACTAATAAATTGGCATTTTGATTTATACATGAGTTTGTGAGTTTGGTTTTCCTGTGTCAGTCACCATGCTGTAAATGTGGACCTGCGGGGCTCAGGATCTTGGCTATAGATCATGTGGAGAGGCTGAAAAGATAAGCTACAGACAGAGAGATATATGTGCAAACCACATATCCAACAGAGGTAGAGTATCTAGCATACAAAAAGGACCCTCAAAACACTATAGTAAAAAAGCAATTTAGAAAATGCACAAAAGACACAAATAGATATTTCACTAAAGAAGATGTTAGATAGCAAATATCACATGAAAATATGTTCACTACCATTAGGGAAGTGGTATTAGGGAAACACAAAGCCACAATGAAATATTTACTACCAAAATGGCTAAAGTAAAAAATAGTAACAACAGCAAATGCAGGCAAGGATGAGGAGAAACTGGATCACTCGTAAATTGCCGATGGGAATGTTAAATGGTACAGTCATTCTGGAAGACAATCTGGCAGTTCTAAAACATCCAAGCATGCAACCACCCTACGACCCAGCAATTGCACTCCTGGGCATTTATCCCAGAGAAAACTTATGTGCACATAAAAACCTGAGATGAATGTTCATAGCAGCTTCATTTATAATAGCCCCAAACTGGAACAACCCAGATGTCCTTCAATGGGTGGGCAAATGGTTAACCCAATTGTGGTACATCCATACCATGGAATACTATTGATATACACAGCAATAAAAAGGAACAAACTATTGATACTTGCAATCCAGATGAATCTCCAGGGAATTATGCTGAGTAAAAAAGGTCAATCCCGAACGGTTACACATGACTCCATTTACGGAACACTCTTGAAGTGGCAAAATTGTAGAAATGGAGAGTAGGTTAGTGGTTGCCAGAAGTTAAGGACACAGGAGAGGGGCATGGGATGGGAGGGAAGCAGGAAAGGGGCAACATGAAGGATCTTTGTGGTGATGGGAAGGTCTTGTGTCAATGTGAATGTCCTGGTTGTAGTAGTGTACTATAGTTTTGCAAAATGTTGCCACTGAAGGAAACTGGGTAAAAGGTAGTTTCCCAGTTTGGGGAAACTGGGATCTCTCTGTATTATTTCTTATAACTGCATACAAATTTACCTTAAAATAAAAAGGTTTTACAAAGCCTATTATTCTGTATCTGTAACTTCTTAATCAGAGGTTAATGAACATAACTGAACTATTTAAGAATCAAGGTTATTGTTTTAAATGGCAATCTGAAAAAAGGCAATACTCACAGGAACAACTGGCCTCGGTCTCTTACTTTGGGTCTTTTTTTTTTTTTTGCGGTACGCGGGCCTCTCACTGTTGTGGCCTCTCCCGTTGTGGAGCACAGGCTCCGGACGCGCAGGCCCAGCGGCCATGGCTCACGGGCCCAGCCGCTCCGCGGCATGTGGGATCTTCCTGGACCGGGGCACGAACCCATGTTCCCTGCATCAGCAGGCAGACTCTCAACCACTGCATCACCAGGGAAGCCCCCGACTTTGGGTCTTTTAAGGCAGTCTCTTCTTTCGCCTGACTCCTCGTGCACCTGTCTCCCTTCTGCGCCTCCCCTTGACCCCCCAGGCTGTTTCTCTTGCTCTGGGTTAGAAAATCATCATTCATGCTTCACGTGTTATTTTCGAGCCAACAAGATTTTGCATCAGGGCCTCTCTTGCAGAATAAGTGCATGGCTTCTTAACGGTGATTAGTAATCTCAGAATAGCTTTCTTCTTACTTTTAGCCGAAATAT